GCCCAGCTGGCTAATGGGGTATTCCATACCACGTGACGTCATGCTCAGTATATGAATGGTAGGCGGGATCCAGGAAGTACCGATCGCTACCTGGTTATCGGTCAGCGTGGGTAGTGAGCAATTGCATTGTGCATCACTTATTTTGTATATTTTATCATTATCATTATTATTCTCCCTTTTCTGTTTTATTAAACTGTCTTTATCTCAACTCAACGAGTTTTTCTCACTCTTACCCTTCCCATTCTCTCCCCGTCCCACTGATGGGGGTGGGGGGTGGGGGAGTGAGTGAGCAGCTGTGTGGTATTTGGCTGCCTGCCAGGTTAAACCACAACACATAGCTCATCATATTGACCTACTAAATGATTTTGGGATGGATATTTTATCTCCTCTTCATACAGGCTGATATGATTAGAGGTACTAATCGATGCTCATTTAGGTCAAGTTAAGACTTCCCAAAAGACCCTTTCATTAAATCTGGGGACTGAAGAATGCTGTTGTGGGGGAACAAGGCACTCCTGAGAAAACAGCTCATTGTAGCCCTCAAATTGATAACCTTGATTAAATTCACATTTGCTTGTGCGAAGCCACGGTGTGATATGACATATAAATGGTGGAGGCAACGGACTACTAACATTTCCATTCCATCTGAAAATTATATTTTCTGGTGCTTTACTAGGAGTTTTAAAAATGCTTTATCAGAAACAAGTGAGGAAAAAATAGCAATTAAACTTTTAGTGCATAATAAGGTATGCTATTAAACAAGATATCCATTTATTCTCATTAGTAGTACCTCCATCATTTTAACATCTAAGTACTAAAAATGGCCTGTGGGAGGTCTTGCAGAAAAATGACATCCAACCCTAGGAACAAATATATAAAAATACAATGTATATAGCTCATTAGGAAATCAGTGAGAAACAAGCAAACAAACAAAAACTAGTTTAGAGAAAGTAATTAGATAGTAATAGATTAATCTGAAGTATAACCACCAAATGCAATGACTGTTAACATCACTTAATTAAAAGCTGCATAGAAATTAAAAGCTGCCTAGAAAGATAGGGTTACATGAAGAAACTGAGTAATAAGATCTCAAACATTTATACATGTTGTAATTCAATTTGGTCTCATCATTCAACACAAATTAATTTTGTGTTAATTTTTTTGTTTTTAATCTATGTTATTTCTTTGTGAATATTTGATGACCAGCTTGTAAAAGAGGCTACAAAGGAAAGATATTAAGCAATCATTCTGTAACAAAAGGATACGGCTTATTATAACTTACTTAGTCATGAATTAACATGCCATTCTCCTTGTTTTTATATGGTTGAAGAAATCTTTAAAAAACACATGATAATGAATTTAAGAACTGTGTACAAAGAAATATGCTTTGATTTAACCATCAAATATTGTGTGTGTGTGGAAGTCAGGTCATAAGTCCTTGCCTGTAGGGGAACAAACCTGTCCAGCCATCTGTAATTTAATTACTCAATCTCCAAATGCAGACTTGAATTGCTTCAGTGAGTGTAACAATAAACACTTCAAAACCTCATGAAAAGGTTCCCCGTATGGTTTTGTTAGATAACTTCTTTCTCAGAAGAGAATAAGATGGTTTTGCAGCAGTTTCTGTCTTCACAAAGACAAACACAATTCCTCCTGTTAGACTTTGAGCTTAGCATAGCATGAGAACATTAAATTCTGTTTCAGCATAAAGTGTCAAGATTTATTTTGGGGTGTTTCAGCTAATATGTTATGTATTGTGTTGCAACTTTGAAATTGAATAAATTGTTCTATGCAAGTCTACAGCTGTTAAAAGTGCCACCACCTTTCAGCTGGTCTGTTAAAATGATGCTGCATGGCAATAGTTTCTTTAACATACATCACCTAATTGAACTGCAATTGAAATAGCTCCTAAAAAGCCAAATTCATCACTGTTAACTACATACCACTGACATTCTTACTAAGGAATTGACATTTTCAAACGGTGAGCCTAGGGAAACCTCTTGTCATTAAAATGCTACTCTTTGTGCATCAGTTATTTTAGATTATAACAAATACCAGGGCTGATCCCATTATCACCCACAGAAACGAGATCAAAGTATTTATATGAATTTCAACATTATTCATGATCATTACCGGCTTACAGTCTTTTCCTGAATTAAAATAATCAACTGTTTAAAATTTTACTTTTAATCATTATATACATGTAGAAACATAATGAGTTTCAGAGTTATCTTTTTCTTTTTTCTTTTTCTTTTTTTTTCCCCTCAAAGGAATTTTCATTTTCTATCAGGAATTGAAGTAAGGAATCAATCTAAAAGAAAAGGGGCACAGAACTAAGATTAAGGAGGTTCATCTTCAAATCCTGTAGTTGTTTCTTTGCTCTGCTTGGCTCTGCTTTGCTCTCTTTGCCTGCCTTACACTGCCAAACACATGATTTGTGAACATTATAGATAAGTGATTCTTATTTTGTGTTTGTACCAATTATAATTTTTTTGTGAAATTTTCTCTCTCTTTTACATAACTTTTTTTGATTCTATAGAGTCCAAAAGACATTTGGGGGCTTTGATTTTTATGATAATTATTTTATTATTATTATTAATTTTTATTTCAGTAACTGCTTAGTTTACTTACTGTATTTGTTATTGTTCAAGACAAACTAGCACTAAACAGCATCATTAAGCTCTCTATATTCTGGCCTGAAAACTCCCCTGAAAGATGCCTTTGGTTTGGTTCTTATCACTCCAATGAATATAGTCTATAGAAGATTAAATTCTTCACACATTCAAATCCTTAACTTGTTTTCTAAGTACCAATGCAAAATGCAGTTTTCCTACTTGTTATTCACCTGTTAATTTAGTTTACACATTGCATTACTGGAATTAACTTGGTTTCTTTTTCACTGATAATATTCCTGGTTTATGAATATGAAATATGAAATATATGATTGTATACAGTTCAAAATAAATCTAGGATCAACTGATGTTTTTGCTATCGTCATCGTGTTTTCTGCAGCCGAATTACCCATTGTTTCTATGACATATTTCTCCAGCTAGTGGACTCTGGTCATCTTCTTTGTCCATACAGAAGCCACTCCAATCCCAGCCTCATTTCCTCATCTGCGTATATTCTTTGGAATCCCATTTATCCGTCTAATATCTCTGGACCTTTTTTTCCTGTCTGAGAACTCATTCTGGAACAACCATTTTATCCTTCTACAAGAAAGGGGCAAAAATCAATTTTTTACATAAAGGATGAGAAACTCTGAGGCAGCTGTGATGCGTGGAGTCTCAGAGCACAGTATACTACTGATGAAGCACTGCTAGGTGAAGGTATTGATATTATCACATGGTGATGTTACTGCTTCTCACCATTTTTTAAAAGGTCGTGGCTCTGTCCTGCTCTCACACTTCATGAAAAAAGAAGATTCCTAGCTGGGCCAGCAGTCTTGCTGTTCTCACATCACGTGCTAAGAGCACGCAAAAAAAATGAGGATCCCCTTTGTGAAAGAGGGAGTCCTCTTGCTCCCAAACTGAGTGGAAGTGAAAGCTGGGAGCTGCTTCTCAGGATCCCAGTTGGATACTCTCTAACGTGACTATATCTTACTATATTTACCTCATCCTCTTGTCCTTACATATTTGTTTACTAACAAGGAATTAGCTTAGAAGAAGACTGGAGGGTATGTTTTCTGGAAATCTCAGCTCCACCCTGAGGGCTGCTTGGCAGTGCACACTACCAAAAGTAAATTATCTAGTCTCAATTCAGTGATTAACCACAAAAGTGACCCTCAATTATTCAGTCTCCTCAACTTCTCCATTTCATTTTGTCCTTGCTATAATTTTTTTTTTTTTTTTTTTTTTTTTTTTTAAGTGTAGACTCAAACTTGCCCCAGCTTTCTGGAACACAACCTGGTATTGGGCACCCACTGTCCAAATTTAATGGACAGCTCTGTAATTGAGATGTCTAGAAAATAACAAACATAATATTTATAATAATTTTTACCGTTATAGAAAAATTAGTTACTTGATGCCCTGTGAAGGCACTGACAAATGGTGAAAAACATCTTAATGACTTAGCTTGACAGAGTAAGAAATTAACTTGTTTACACTTCACAACTGAAAAAGTTGCTTAGGTGTCTCAAATTTCCCAGATTATACACGAGCTTTACATACTGTATGTATGTATGATTCATCTTTGCAGCCTATATTATTGCAAGTAATTTCTACTCAATCATGGGAAAAAAAGCATAGATACATAATTGTGAGAAAAGAAAGTGTTCAGAAACATTTGGGATTAAAATTCATGCAAGTGAATTTAAATGACTTTACATTAACCTATTTTTTTATGCATAGGAATCTTGGATTTTTTTTCTTCATTTCTGTTACCTGCAGTGATATCACTCAGTGCTTTTCCTGGTTTATGAAGACAGATTTTGACTTTCCCATCACTCAGATATAAGAGGAAACCACCTGAAGCCTGGTGTAGTTTACTAGATAATAGAAGTCCCTCCTTGTTCCAGGTGCGAAACTGGAAACTGATGAATACTTCGTCTTGCCCTGATGTGCCTGGCAGTGCCAGGTAACTACTGGAGCTCAGAAATGTAACAGGAACCATCTGTGGCTCTAAACATGAGAAGGACATGTTGCCCTAGAAAGAAATGAAACAAATATGGTATTAGGAACATTCAGGGGAAAAGTTATAAGAACTTTTGTATGGAAACTGCAGAGTTTCAAAACATTGTGCATAGAACCTAATATTTGTAATACTTGAATGTGTTAGTCTAAAAATCAACTATGAACACGTAAGAACATCATCAGTTTGAGAACTAGTTTACCTAGTCGTTTGACCAGAACAGACATATCTGCCTGAGCAAAGAGTGGCAAGGACCTTTGAGTGAATGAGGTAAGATCCTAAATTACATAGCTGATTTAATGGCACTTCAGGAGTTAGACAGACCTGTTTTGTTTCTATTTTGGCTCAGCCTCAGGAAGCATTAGGGACTTGACAAATTTCTGAATGTCAGATAAAATGCCACCGAATGCCAAGTTTGGTACAAATATTTATATGGGTCTAAATGCTTGTATGCAGAGAAAAATGTTAAGTTTGGCTACTGATTGCTTAAGGCAGTGTTAAATATGAGAAAAAAACATTTTGCCAGACCGAGGAGCCGTCTTTCCAAATCAATGCAACTGGAGCTGTGCACTGACCCCAATATTTGTTTTCACAAATAGCCAGAGAAAATTCCACGTATAAACTCTTGCTACTTACAAATAAGAAACACATACTTCATAAATCAGAAGGAAATGTGTTTTCAAGCAGGCTTATATGGACCAGATCATAAGTTGTATTTAGGCACCTAGCCTTTATTTTGTGCTTGACTGCTTCTGAAATCTCTGGTTCTTAGCTACCTAAGAGATGAGTTCATTGACAAACTCTGAGCTTAACCTGCATCTGTGGTTGTACTGAGTTATATAGATAAGAAGACTGGAATCAGAATAACACATTTTTTTCATCTGGTGTCGGAGTTAGTTAATACTTTATGACTCTTGATAGTACACTTTGATCTAATGACTTGCTGGCACCATTTGAACTATAACTAATTTGTTCTGTACAGATGATTACTAAAAGATTAATGTCTTTAGGATTTAAAATACATTTAACTTCTGTTCAATACAAAGAGCTTTTAAAATTTTGAACATACATAAAACTTTGACCTTATAGTAAAGAGCTAAAAAAATCAATTTAAGAAAAATACTCACTAGCCCCTGGCATGGCAAGGCATTAAAGTTTATGCTTTTTAATTTGCTTCAAGGAAAATACATAAATAAATTAAAGCTCTGTCTTATGAACTTAGCTGTAGAGAAACGAATAGTCAACTGAACTGACCCATAGTGAAAAGGCTGTGATGAGATTAATAAACCTTGTTAAATGCTAAAAGCTTACTACCTGCAGATTTCCCCTCCACGTTATCTGGAGGGGATACTGCTGCCTGCTACTGTATCAGACCAATAAAGTGGCTATTTAACAAGCATTGTATGGTAACATAGCTACTTCCAGGCACATTTACATTATAAAACATCTCCTAAATAGTTTTGAAAGTAGCACAACAGTTTAAATCATTTGAGATGAAGATGGTGAAATTTCCTATGACAATAATTTCATAGTTCCCCTCTCACTAGTCCATACAGAGCTTCCTATAACTGCCCTCTCCCAAACATCCATCAACATCATGGACAAGATATTATACGGAGGTATCAGTTTAATTAATTCTGGAAAATTTCAGATGAGCTTCACATGAGAAGAGATGCCTGCCATCTGTTTTTTCTGGGACAGAGAACAATATTTGATTGTTCATATTCTGAACTGAAATCCAAATCAAAAGTTTTGGAGCTTGAAAACATTTTATATTTTGTTAGTTATTTTGAACAGATTGTTTCCATCATATCTCTACATTTCCTGCTGCTAAATAAATAAATACTGCAAATAGAGATGGCTCTATGGATGGAAAAAAAACAAAGGACTTGGTAAAATTTATAGAAAACCTTCTGTAACACGGAAGAATGTTGATATGTTATTGGAACCATTTCTCTAAGTGGTAAGGATTTGGCTAATACAACTGTGTCATGTCACAATAAATGCATTAAACCCACCAACCTAAACTACAGCTATTCAGACAAAGGACAGTATGAATCGACAAACAGAACTTATCTATCAAAATCATAATGCTCTAGAGAAAACAGAGTGAGTCAATGTTCTCAGCGATAGAAGGCTTTTAAAACTTACTGCTGTGTTCTTAATAGTCAGGTAGAGAAGTCAAAGCTAGAGCTTCAATGACTTCAGATACATCTTACTTTACTCACTGGCTTTTGTACATACACAACAGCGAGATACCACACAACAGTGAGATATCACACACATCTAAATATCAGCTAAAGACCTGAAGAATAAAACACATCCTGCACTGTCTACTGGATGAGTCTGTACAGTAGCAAATATAAAATAGCCCAATTAGGTGATTTCTTAATTTTTCTTTCATTAAACAACATAGATTTTACTAGAACTGTGTGTTAACAGATTGTATATGAAAGTGGCTGTGGTCTTTTTCTTTTCTCTATTTTACTTATTTATTCTTTCTTAACTATGAATCTCTTACCACAAAGTAGATCTGAGATTTATGCCTCCTGGCCAGGTCAATAATGTTCACTCCATTATAATAAATATTTTCAAAACAGCCATGAAAGTTCCTGCGTGACAATGTCCCTGATTTTCCAGGCACTGGGATCCCTCCAAAGCTGAGCTTAGAAAGAGAAGAGAAATCAATGATACTATTAAATAATTTTCTAAAGAAAGAAGTTGCCAGTAGTGTAAGAGCAGAAGTCAAAGACTGGCCAGTAATGAATCTGCTACTTCTTGGCTATTTCCTTGTACAACATCTACATATTAAAAAAACAGCCTTACAAAAATTAGGCTGTATCAAGTCATATGTATGTGTTAAAATATTCTGAAATGTTGGCTTTTTTTTTTTTTTTCTTCTGAGGGTGCCTCTTAACAGTTGCTTAGTATAGAGTTTTACATGTTTTCAGGATTCATTGCAGCTGCAACACCAAGGAGAAGAAGGACAAGACCCAGCACATGTAGACCATGCTGAACAGTGAGAAAAGGGAGAAGAGAATTCACTAACAACTTCTTTACGAATTTTGAGCCTGACTTCTCCATTGTGTGCAAATCATAACTACCTTAATAAAGAACAAGAGTGCATCAGATAAAATTATTCTAAGGCAAATGAAAGGAGATACTTTTCCCCTCCCAAAATGCTTAGTCTGTGCAATTCCTTGAAGTGATGCTGTAGGTTTATTTGGGTTCAGAAAGAGATTGGAAGATTTAATAAAAATAAAAATCCATTAAGAGCTATTAAATTCAAGAATATCACTCTGGTTTAATAAGTCTCTGAGGCAGAAAGTTTTAGAAAGCAGTAGATTATTGCAGAAAAACATTGCCACAAGGGTGACCTGAGTTATACACTGGTCTATGTTTCTACTCTTGGGCACCATCAGAAACAGGATGCCTGTTTAAGTGAACTTTTGAATTCACCCATTTCAAAGATATTCTGGTTGACATTGTAGAAAATATCAGGTTAAACTATTTATCTTTTAATTTTGAAATTTCACTTAATATTTAAAATTATTTTATGAAAAAATGATGAAAAAAAAATATATCATGTTTCAATAAATAATTAAATTGAGAATTTTTTATAGTCAGAAATACAATTCTAGTTACAGTGGCTCATAATTTTTTGGAAGTTTTTAGGCTTTTTTCCAGCTTTTTGCTTTCCTTTCTACCTTGTTTTGGTAACACATACTTCAAACTACAGTATGTGGAAGAGAGGAAAAATTAATTTGCAACACTGGCTGATTTAGTAAAATAAATCTATTTGCCAATCAGTTAAAACTAACATTTGTTGTTTCTTTTTTTTTTTTTTTAATTGGTATGATCCTTCAAGCCTTGGTATTGTGGCTTGGATTCAAAAATTTTAAGCAGAATCATAACTTTAATCTTGTGAATGATATTTTTGAAATGGAATAATGCAGACATGGAACAGCATGAAATCTTACTCTAAACTGCTTAAAAACTCAAACAAGTAGAATAAAGTAATTTAGATCTGTGGGTTCTAAACACTCAGCTCTATCACTCATTGTCTCATCCAACAAACAGGACGGGGCAAACATAAAGCAGCCAGTCATCACATTACAACTGTGAAATAGTGGTATTTTTAACCATAGGTGGGGAACTGTTACAACAAATTACATGTACTCCTTTTCGTGAATCTACCATTTGTGTAAGCAAGATTTTTTCACAGTACATTTGCCAGATTTAACAGGAATTTAAGTCTTAATCTAAACATGTCTAAACTGGTTTTATGCTGATTTATTGTAATTTTCATCAAACCATAAAATAATAACTTTGAGTTGGGGCTCATTCCTTGTGTTTACATACTCTTTACCACATTTGCAACACTACTGAAACAAAGATTAAAATAATGAATTCTGAGATGAAAAAGATGGTCTTTTGAAAATTTTGAGTTGCAAGTGTAGTGGAGCATTCATAAACTAAGAACATCTCTTTCTCTTTCATTCATTCCTTTAGGAGATAGAAAGTCCCTAAAGTCTTAAGCATTACAAACTTCCTTAAGTTCTCTCTCCTTTGCTTGTTTGACTGCATTTACATAACAAAGTTAATAAATGTAATAAAGGAAAGGTAATTTTCACACCTCATAATCAAGGTCCAAATAATTGAATTCTCCTTTTACATGAAAATGATGAGTGTGTTTATCCACTGTAAAGTTTACTTGATTGTTAAAGTGCTCAAGGAGAACAGAATGCCACTGCTGATCATCCAAAAGGCTGCCCAGCGTAATATTAATTTGGGCATTAGAAAGATGAGTTTTAGTATCACCTTGAAAGAAGAAAAATAAAAACTATTAATTCCATATAAAAATATAATTATTCAAATATATACTGCTAGTTTATCATACTCTATACATTAAAATCCACTTAACAAATTAAAAGAAGTTTTAGTCAAATAATACCTAATAACTATATTAGACTTTATGAGACTGTAACTGTTACCTAAATTAATGAATAGGGACAGCTTCCCTTCAATTAATTCCAGGGTAATGTGGTCTCCATTTTGTCCTTCTCTGTGGAGGAGAATTCCATCACTTTGCATTGTCTTAAACTTCAGAGAAATCACATCTTTCAGCGCACTCATGAGTTTTTGATTAAATGTGTAAATTAGACAACTTTTCCCATCAAAGCCAACCACCTCGGACCCTAGAAGTAAAGAAATGAAAGAGAGTGTATAATCCTATGTATAAAAGAAACAGTTGCATGTTACTTCTATATGATATGAAGTTCCACCACTAACATCCTTAGATTCACTTGTGTCCAGTAAAGCGTAGCTTATTTCTGCTATTCCTGTTCTTCTCCAAATGTTAAGACTGTCCTGTTTTAATGATGATGCTATCACTAGATAATAAAGCAAGGTGAGCAGAAGACATTCAACTTCTATTCCAATCTAGTGCTAATCACACATACTGAAAGGTCTTCCTTGCCTTGGAGCCATGAAGTACTTTGACCATTTCTGTTTTTACTGTATTCTTAGGGTGAAAATCTCTATTAATTTATCTGCAATTAATCCCAATTAACAAAAAAAAAAAAAGAAGAGAAAAAACATGTCCATTACATTTAACTGAATTTCAGGGTCTTCATGCAGGCTGCGGATTTAAGCCACTATTTAAATCAATCTAGATATCCATACAGTAGTTCAAAATAATATCATGGCATACTATTCTAGGAAAGAAACAAAAATATTCTAAAATGAAAACCTGTCAGCTGTGAGTAGGGCCTGGTTCTGTTCATCAAATGTATTTTACTGGCATCATAAACAAATTACAACTTTAATTAAGCTGAATTACCGTTTTAGCACTGGAATATAGGACTTTATACCATCAGTTTTCCAGTATGGACATCACAGAATCACAGAATGGTTGAGGTTGCCATGCACCTCTGTAGATCATCCTGCCCAACTTCCCCACTCAAAGTAGGGTCAGCTCCAGCAGGTTTGTTAGGGCCGTGTCCAGTCAGGTTTTGAGTACTTCCAGGGATAGAGACTACACCTGTCTGGGCAACCCATGCCAGTGTTCAACCGTCCTCACAGTAAAAATCTGTATTTCAGTTCATGCCCATTACCTCTTGTCCTGTCACGGGACACTACTGAAAAGATCCTGGCTCCTTCTTCTTTACACCATCCTATCAGGTATTAATACACATGGGTAAGATTCCTCCCAAGACTTCTACTCTCCAGTCCCAGCTCTCTCAACCTCTACTCATATGGCAGATCCTCCAGTCCCTTAATCATATTTGTGGCCTTTTCCTGGATTCACTCCTGTATGTCCATGTCTTTCTTGTAATAGGGATCCCAGAACTGGACCCAGCAATTCAGACGTGTCTCATTACCACAGTTGAGTAGAAGGGAAGGATAGCTTTCCTTGACCCGCTAGCAACACTCAGCCCAGGATGCTGCTGGCCTTCTGTGTTGCAAGGGCATGTTGCCAGCTCATGGTCAACCTGGTGTCTACCAGAACCCTCATGTCTTTTTCTTCAAACCCACAGTCAGCCCCTGGTGTGTACTGGTAAACCCTTGCTGGGATTATTCTTCCCCAGGTGCAAGACCTTGCACTTCCCTTTGTTGAACAGCATGAGATTCCTGTCAGCCCATTTCTCCAGCCTGTCTGGGTCCTTCTAAATGGCATCAAAGCCCTCTGGTATGTCAATCAGTCTTCCAAATTTTTATTGGCTGCAAACTTGCTGAACCTACCCTCTTTCTCCTCATCCAGGTCACTAATTCTTTCTCATCATCCAGGTCACTAATGAAGATGTTAAACAGCATTGAAACCAGTATCAACCATGGGATATACCACAAGTGAATAGACTCAGCTTGACTTTGTGCCACTGATCACAACTCCTTCAGCCAGGCAGTTCAGTCTGTTTTTAGTTTGCTTTATTGCCCACCTAAATAGCCTGTACTTATCAGTTGTCTGTGAGGATATTATGGGAGACAACATCAAAACTCTTGCTAAATGCAAGATAACCAACAGGAAACATTCCCTTTCACTCACCAAGCCAGTTATATCACTGTAGAAAGCTATTAGTTTGGTCAGACATGATTTCCCCTTCATGCTGACTATTTCCAATAATCTCCACATCCTTCACATGTTTGGAAACAGTTTCTATTTCCTCCTTCACCTTCCCAGGGATTGAAATGAGGCTGCCAGTTTGTAGTTCCCCACATATTCCTTCTTGCATTTGTTGAAGCTAGGAGTGACATTTGCTCTCTTCCAGTCTTTAGGAACCTCTCTCAGTTGCCACTACCTTTCAAAGACAAACAAATGTGGCCTCAGGATGACCATGGCCAGTCCCTTCAGCATCTTGGGTGCATCCCAATAGGTCCATGGACTTACGTATGTCCAACTTGTTCAAATGTTACATAGCCTGACCCTCCTCCACTGAGGGTCTCCCTTGCTCTAGTCTTTCCTGTGGGCCTCAGAGACCTGAGATTCCTAAAGGCAAGTCTTACAAGGTGAAGAGGTCATTGAGTACCTTGGTCTTATCCATGTCTTTTGCCCCCAGGTCCTCTGCCCCATTCAGCAGTGAACCCATATTTTTCCTCGTCTTCCTTTTGCTCCTGATACTCCTGTGGAAGCCCTTCTTGTTGTCTCCCATGAACTTTATCAGTTTCAAATCCAGGTGGTTTGGCTTTCCTAACCACATCCGTGCATGCTCAGACAATGTTTCTGTACTCCTCCTGGGTCATCTGACCTTGCTTCCACCTCTTCTACACTTCCTTTTTATTCCTGAGCTCAGTTAGGAGCTCCTTGCTCATCCATGCAAAGCTCCTGCTACTTTTGCTTGATTTGCAACACCGGAACACAGACCTTCTGTTCCTCCCACAAAGCTAAGTCATAACAAAATTAGAGCCCATACTTAGGATTTGCAAGACCCGTGATAAGGCTGATTTGGGTAAGAAATACACTCTCATTCACTCTCAATCTCTTGTTCCAATGTTTATAGAGCATTTGGAATAAATTACCAAGAGCAGTATATCAGAACATACTATTTAAAACGTCAGTTCTTTGGCGGTTCCATTCATTTTTTATCTCTTTTAAAGTAACAACCATCTTCAGGATAGAGGAAAATGGGTTTACCAATATCCCTGGTCGAAGCAAATCACTAACAAACTGAGCAGGCATTTAAGATGCATCTTCTGTCTTGTCATATTGTTTTTAACAGCCCAGATTTTTCAATTCCCTGCTTGTCAGGATAGACCTTTCTGGAGCTTGGAGGAAATGAACCTTGAAAATCAACCAGCTCTCCTGAATCCCTCTTGTCTTCAGGACCATTTCCCATGTCATTCTTCCAATCAGGAGCATGAAAAAACCTGCCCTGCTGAAGGTTAGGGCTGTGATCCTGCTATTTGTCTTGTTTCTTTCTCTCAGGATCTTGAACATCACAGTCTCACGGTTGTTGTAGCCAAGGCTGCCCCAGCTTTCACGTCCACCATCAGTTCTTCCTTGTTTGTAAGTATGAGGGCCAGTAGAGTGTGTCATCTTGTCAGCTCCTTGATCACCTGTGTTGGGGAGTTATCATCAAAGAATTCCAGAAAACTCCTGGATTGCTTATGCCCTGCTGTGTTGATCCACCAGCAGACACCAGGGAGATTAAAGTCCGCAATTAAGGACCAAGGCCTGTGAACCTAAGGCTTCTTCCAGTTGTCTGAAGAAGGCCTCATCCATTTCTCCCATATCAGGCAGTCTGTGGCAGACATCCACCACAATGCCACCACCTTTAGTCTGTCCTCTAATCCTAATCTAGAAACTCTGAGCTGTCTCATCATCTGTCCCCAGGCAGAGCTCCATGCACCCCTGCTGCTTGCTTACATAAATGTTAACTGCCCTTCCCCATTGTCCTGGCTAGTCCTTTCTAAACAGCTTGTATCCATCTATGGCACCACTCCAGACGTGTGAGCTATTCCACCATGTCTCTATGGTCATGATGAGATCGTAGTCTTTCAAATGCATGAAGACCTCAATTTCTTCTGTGTGTTCTCCATGTTGTGTGCATTAGCACACAGGCACTTCAGAAAGGCATTCACTTGTGTTGATTTCTCAGAAAAAGTGTGAGAACTTCCCCATCATGTTGCCCTCCCAGCAGCACTTCCCTATTTGTGTGTTTACACTTGAGATGTTCAAGTGCTTGCACTTCAGCCCTGGTTTGTTGTTTCCATGGTCTCTCTTGTCCACACTGCCCTGAAGCCTTTGTTTCTCAAATCAGTTCACCACTTCCTCACTTGATTTTGGGCCATCGTCTCCCTCCCCCATCATTCCCAGTCTAGAGCTCTCCTCACTAGTTTGGCCAGCCTGGAAAAGGTGCTTTTGCCCTACATGGTCAGATGGATTCTGTCTCTTCGTAGCAACTCTTGATCCTCAGAGCGTCCTAAGGTTGTTAAATCTGAATAATGCTGCTGACACCAGCTGTGCAACTAGTTGTTGATCCAAAGGATCCACCCAGTTCTCGTCAGGAACAAGGAAAATGCCACCTAAGACTCTATGCCCTTGCTCCTTGCCCCTAGAGCCATGTAGTCATGCTTGATACACACCAAATCTCCCTTGGCTGTACTGTTGGTGCCCACAAGGAAGAGCAGCAGAGGCTTATAGTCTGAAGGTTGGTCAAGTCTCCACAATGTCCTGGATCCAAGTCCCTAGCAAGCAGCAAACCTCCCTAGAAAGCAGGTCAGACAGTCAGACAGGGGGGCCTTCAACACCTGCTATGGGGAGAGTGGGACACACACCTCAAGGGACACCTTCATAGCATAGAATCATACAATAGTTCGGGTTGGAAGGGACTTTTTAAAGATCTCCTAGTTCCAATGCCCCTGCCATGGTTAAGGATATCTTTCACTACATCAGGTTGCACAAAGCCCCATACAACCTGACCTTGAACACTTCCAATGAGGGGCAACCACAGCTTCCCAGGGCAACCTGTTCCAGTGTCTCACCACCAAAAAAAAAAAAAAAAATTCTTCCTTATGTCTTATCTAAATCTACCCTCTTTCAGTTTAAAACCAGTCCTGTCCTGTCACTACAGGTACTGGAAAAAACTCTTCATCTTTATTATAAGCCCTCTTTAAGTAGCCTTCTCTTTTCCAGGCTGAACAACCCCAACTGTCTCAGCCTTTCTTCATAGCAGAGGTGTTCCAGCCCTCTGGTCACTTT